TATATATATATATACATATATATTAAAAAATCCTGCAATTCCTTTCTTGCATAAGAAGAGTGTGTTTTATTGATTAACAGCACTCTTATTTAAGGAGGAAAAGGGCATAAAACATAAAAAAGGAAACTGGTCTTGAATTTATGAAATCATGTGCCAGATTCTCAACTGGCGCACAACCGCAGAACCTTCCTTGCTTAGGGGATGCAACTCCAGTCTAGATCAGCTGGGGATCTGATCTGAAAAGCCTTCCTCTTAGAAATATAAAAACATATTCAGACTCACCATTTAGACATTAAGTGTACCAGACTGAAACTGGATTGAAGTCTCATTTCTAAATAGTTTTCAACCTCTTCTTTCTATGTTTTATCTGATACCCTCTCTTCTGGTCAGAAACAGCAGAAGATGTAAACATTCATAGAATCTTTTAGGTGGGAAAGGACCTTTGATAAACTTTACTAAATTTGCTACCTTCAAAGTCACCTTACAGACTTCAATGTGGGCTTTATTAAGGCAGAAAGCACATGCATAGTACTCTAATACAAAACTGTTTAAAAACTCTGGGGAGCATCAACCCTTCTCCTCCATGAACCAGCTTCGCACACCTCATAAACCAACCAAGCTTGCCTATGTGTCAGGGACAGAAAGACGTCTTCATGCTCACTCTCAGATTGGCATTTCACCTTCGTGTGGGTGCGTGCCAGTTTTTAGGGCAAAATCCCAGGTTTTTAACTCTTCATCTGTGAATGCTACTCTAAGAATTGTCTCGGAGAGACTTGTGGGAGCACTCGTCTGTGCTTGCCAGCTCTCTGCTGCAACTGTTGTAGCTGACTGCTTAGAGGGGTGACACTTTCTCCACTCAAAAGATAAAGTTACAAACTGAGCACAGCTGAACATAGCTAAGTCAGCTAGGGACAGAGCTCCACGGGAACTCTTGTGTCTAAGCAGCTTAGGTGCCTCCTGAAAATCCCACACCTTTATATTCCATCCTCATGGAAAAAGCAGAAATATCAGCCATAAACTTTTCACACAGGATGAACAAACAATCTCTAACAATGTCGGTATCCAGGTAACAAAAAAATCTATATTCATACTATGAAAACCACCTTCAACCGCAATGTTCAGGTTTTGCAGCATGGGCTATTTTATGTTACAACTCTTTTTTATTTTAATTGTGAATATTTTTATCATGTTTTCTTTTTGACTAGATTTCAAGCTGAAACTACTGTTACGGTCAGATGTGTGAAAAATCACACCTCGCAGTTGCACAGACATTTTTCTCTTCTGACTTTCAGATCAAATTGTCTCGGCTGACAACTCTCAAGCAATTATCTCAGCCTAGTCCCATACTCGCACTCCTCTGGAAGCTCCTGCTTTCTGCCAGCAGCATGTTTGCATCAATACAGCCTCCTGCATACTCTGAAGTCTACCTGGAGTAGCTTCCTAGCTTATGCTTTCTGCTTCTTGGAAATGTCAAGGCAGCTCTGCATCCTTAGACCAACCTCACACTCACAGAGCAGAAACCTTTACTGAAGTGAGGCTGACCTCGTAGAAGAAACGTGTACAAAGAGTCAGGAAGCTCAATGATTACATTTTCACATGCAGAGTTTCTGTCTGCGGCTGCATTTCAACCACTGCGTTTCAGTAGTCACACATTTGCTAACACCTCAGAGAAGTTCAGCTGTAATGCTGTCACTTGTAACCAGTCCAATTATCTCTGCTCATTCAACAATAAAAAAAAGTCTCCAATAAATGGCCTGGACACAAAAGCTGAATATCCTAGGAGTCAAAATAGCTGAGAAAGTTAAGATCTTACTCAAGAGTCATACACAAATGAGTCAGTGGGCAGACTGTGGCCCCTGGGTCTAGTGACTAGAAACATATCTGATCCTGATCATCATGGCTACCAATGTGGCTACTAACATGCAGTTATGTGACAGGTATTTCTTTAGAATATGTCAAGAAACTGTATGAAGTCTACATGACAGACATATAATACTATAAAGCAGCAAGACAAGACCAAGCCAATCCCCCTCCACCACCTTCTGCTGTAGGGCGAGTGCTGTGGCTGCCAACAGTCAGGACTTTACAGCGACATGTAACTGAATCAAAAATGCAATTAGGAGTTTTTTTGAAAAATGAACAAGTATGAACTTCACCAGCATATGGCATTTATTAGATGAAGATATGGTTCTGAACTGCAAAGCAGGCTTCCAAGAGCACACAGTTATTCTTTGCGATCTTTGGAATTTCACAGCCGCTTTGGGGCTGAGAGTGTCAACACCATCTGCCAGAGAAGCCTGGATACACCCAAGGAGATATTCAAAAGGAAACGCGATAGCATCAGCAGAGGACCTCAGTTATACAAAAGAAGAGGTGTGGCTGAACCACAACTTTTCTGATTCACATCAAGGCTTTCCCGAAGTTCAGAGCTGTGCTATCTGAAGAGGATGCTACAAACCCGAAGTGACCAGGAGCACACAGTTATTTTCACAACCTGCTTCTCTTGAACAGCAACGCCACAGGAAAAACCAAGAGGGAAGAGAAGACCAGGTGGGCTCACCAGAGTGCGTCCTGAGGTGTCCTGTGAGGGCATCCCTCCGTCGGCAGGCATAGCTGCAGAAGGGACATTTGAACGGTTTCTCCCCAGAGTGCAACTTGATGTGCCTCAGCAGATTCCCCTTCTGGGTAAAAGAAGCTCCACACTGGTTACAGTGGAACGGACGTTCACCTGGAAGGAAAACGGAAGTGAGAGAGATGTTAAAAAACATCATAAGGTGCATGGAGCCCGTTATCCTAAAAAGATATAGTCAAAGAGTGGGAACTTTTTGTAACCGTGCCATCTTACATAGGTACAGTCCCCACCACCACCATCACATGGCACTTTTGTGATGGTCAAAGTCAGAGGTGGCTTCTTTTGTACAATGGGCAAAACCTCCAATAATGATTTGACAGTTTTACCTTGAGGTGATTAATGCAGCCTGATTTTCTTAAAGTTCTCCACCTCAGAGGTTTTATCCTTCATAAAAAAAAAAAAATGAGCTCTGCTCAAAATTTAGATCCATAACTGTGGTTTTGTAGTATTTATTTCTATGGTTTTGCACTTATTTTTAGTATAGGTCCAATTCACATGAGTATTTAGAACTGATCACAGCAATTGGACTTGGACAGATGTTAAGGTCTTTGCCTCAAACCAAATCTTTTGCTTACATTATACTTTAATTGAAATGCCTTTTTAAAGGCTGCTTTGCATTACTAGAGTCATACGAAGAGAATCGATGCCAGTGAGGACCAGGCCCACAAGCTCTGGGCAGTAGCAAACACTGAGAAAAACCTTACACTGTTAAACTGTGAAATAAGCAAATTTGTGCTCCAACTAGAACTGATGGAAAAGACCTGTTTGATTAAAAAAATATAACAGTGTTAACAGAAACTCTATACCTTGCCCTCTTCATTCACCCCATGCATTCACACACACACACACACACACACACACACAACTTAATTCTGATGCTAATCCTTCATATTTGCCCTGGGCAGAGGGGATTGCAGCCATAAAAAAACCCACACTTTTTTTTTTTTTTTTTAAATTATTATTTAGAGAAAAAAGCCTGCAAAACTTACACAGGTTTTGTGAAATACTATCAAAACCATACTCCATTTTAAATATTTTTGGGTGACACTCAGACTGTTGCAGCATTCTTGGGCAGGCAGTCAGTTCTAATCATCTGCTGGTGTCCCACTGTGCAAATCAACTGGGCACAAGCATATACTTGTGCTGGCCACTTGCCTAAGCACTTTATTTCAGCTGGGCTTTAGATGCTGAAACATTTTCATCAAGTAGGACCCCGGTTCAACCAGGTCTTGAATGTCAGATTTCACACGTAAGCAGCCTCATTCATTTTTTTCAGTGCATCACTCATTACGGAGCCTCAGTCAAATCCTGGTGGGACTTTCTGAGGTTGAATTGTCTGGCCTGGAGCACAGGTCCCGTGAAAAACAAATAAGTTCCATGATCTGTCACATATCTCCAAAGCCTTTTTCAACTGCTGTAGAACGATTACTCTCTTGCTGGACAAAATGAATGCTACGTTTTTATCAAAGTAGTTCATGTGTTTATTGTAAAGTTAAAAATAAGTCTGTAGATTCAAATGGAAAGAGAGGGAGTAAGAGAGCTCCTACAGATGTCCACAAGCAATTCCTGCTTCAGTGGTTTAAATCACTGCCAGCATTACAATCCTGCCAGGGAGACAGCAAAAGGCAGGTGTGCCATACATATGCCATACCTCTGCAACTTCACTTCACGTGAGTGAGCTGGAAATTATCTCTGAAACCGCTGCAGATGCACTGAAGAAGATACTAAAGTTCCTACAATCTTGCCAAGAATGTTATGGAGTAATGATTTAAATAAATAAATAAAAAAATCAGGGCATAAAGCTCTTCTTCAAATATACTGAACACAAGCTCATTGGAATTGATAAAAAGTTTGTGGTTTCCCTTTCAAACTCCCACACTATACTTAAAGGATCTGATTAGCCATTATCATCTTTTATATCATTTCAGAACGTCCGTAACAGAGATATACAAAGAGGTTGCAGTAGAAAAATATATGTTTTTTTTTCTTTTCTGTTTTGCTTTCGCTGCCTGAGAAAACAGGCAAAGCCCCTTCCTTTGACATGTTTCTCAGCAATCAGGAATGATAGCTTCAGTTTCAGGATGACAACATTAAAGAAGATAGCAAGTTTCTTACCAAGTCTAAAGCCTTTCCTTTTACTCTGCTCTGTTCCACACAGTCAATGTGTTTTACCCACTACATCACCCCCTTATCTTCGATATTTTGGAAGCCACATATGAGCAGGTTTTATTTCTCAACAAACTGGCAGCTGAAGAGATGCTGAAAGCCTTCGGTCAGGAATTCAAACAGTCATTGCACCACTGTTTGGTGGCAAAGATAACATGAAAACACTCACCACAAAGTCGACAATAGCCCGCTCCTCTCTTGCAATGGACAACATCTGCTAGAATAGCACATTTTACCTTAAATAACCTTTGTATCTATTTAAAGCCAGCATGGATTCATTTTTCTTACTGGCTTAATTCTGGGTAAATAGCTGCTTTGATCCGTTTGTTGTACTCTTGTCCCATCATTTGATTCCTGCTCCTTGTTTAAGCTGCAGCCTTGCGGGATGACTGTTAATATTAGTCACACCTTCATGCTATTGATTATGAAGCTTTTGCATTCAGCACAGCTAATCTGAGACCATTATCCAATAGAAGGGTGCAGAAAAAATGTAAAGGCTGAACAGTAAGACAATTTTGCTGCTTTTCCAAGAACTGTGCTGTCCGATGTTGACTTCAGATACTAGCAAGCCAGCCTGCTTTATCACTTCAGTGACTTGCCAAGACTGTTTTCCAATTATTTCTGCTGCTGTCTTTTCCTAGTAGGTTGGTAAGCAGTTCTCCAGTATTATTATTTCCCAATAAAAAAATAACAACCTTGACTTCCTTATTTACTTCTCTTACTCTTCTGTGAAAACGAAAAGTTTTTATCCGTAGGCTGAAGTTAAACACACTTCAAACTAAACATCTACTCACAAGAACTTTTAAAAGACACTTCTTTTCTACCTGACAGTCTTTGACTGGGTTTAAAATGTTTTTCTGTCTTTGGGGGTGATGGCAGCATAGACATCCCAGAAACTACAGACCTATTAAACAGGTGTATACACGACTACAAGAGGGTAAAGACAATTATAAGCACAACGTGTTTTTTCACCATTTGTAGCCGTGTGTATCATTTGACTGTAATTATACTAATCTATTTTTTACTTTATTGGCAAAATGAAAACTCCTTATAAGAAGATGCACTGAAAGGTGACCAAGAGCTTTTTGATTTACAGCACTAGAAACTATGTGACTGCAATGAAACTGCAAAATATTTTTTAGTCTACTTTAAGTATTAAACCTTTTCTCCATTTTAGAGCTAAACCAGGGCAGAAACCCCTCAAATTGTAGTGATAAAAAAAATAAAAAATAAAAAAATTACATTCTGAGTGGGGAGAGGGGAGAAGAACAGCTAACCAAACAAAATGATGTTTCTTTCCTTTCCAATTCCAGGTTTAAGATCTAAAGCCAGACAAACCCAAGAATGCCTACAAAGTCTTGTTCTGCAGCACAGGGAATTTAATTATTGGAAGTTACTTCAGGAACGGACCAGGCAAGGTAAGCCTTGTCCTAAGAGCTGCAAAGTATTACCTTTCCTAAAGGCTTAGTAACAGGGGCTCATACCAGGGAACAGCCCTGATAATAAATTAAGAAATAAATAAACCCACGGGGTTTTATAATTTTATAGTTAAATATTAATTAAAAGGTACAACTTCAAATATTTACCTCTAAATTACAGTAAAATACTGCTGAAACCTCACAGTTTGTTGTTTAACATGCATCCATTGCAGCTATGTCTCCTCCAGGAAAAATAATAACAAAATATTACTGCTCTTTAGCTACACCAGCATCTAAAGTACACAAGTTAATTTTCTGTTGTATAAACAAATACTGAGATAAAAGATGAAGTGGACCAACAAAGTCAGAGTTGTTAGCAAGACACTGTCCTTTCATAGTATCTTTAATATATGGCAACTGGTTGGAAACTTCACAGGATGAGCCACGAGCACTGTCTAATTCATACAACCTGAAACCAGGCAAACTGATTTAACTTCCTACTAATAGCTTGCATTTTTTACTGTGTCTATGTCAAATGTTATTGCAAACAGCAAACCAACTCCTTTTCCTGCTTAATAGGAAGCTTCCCTGCACAAGATCTCTCCTTTACCACCTCAGCACCCAAGTGCTGTGCAGAAGTTTCAGTATGAGTTATCCTTCTTTGAATCTCACACTGCTGCAAAATACACAGATATTTTCTGTATCAAACCAGAGATTCGACGGAGGACAAAGAGCTTGCAGACCTCACAACCAAGAAGACTTAGATTTTCATAACCCTTGGCTAGTAACTTTTGTCCCTTCAAAATCAAATGGAGCAACTCACAAAATAATGTTCTTCTTAACATCGAGGCCTAGTTATTTCTACAGCAGTGCTCAAGCCCCTTCCTGTGATTGTTTTAATTACTTTTTTTTTAGAAAACACTGGTTTTAAAGTCTCTTTCCAATAACATGGAAAGCAAGGACAGATTCACTTAACAGGCTGCATGTGGCTGGAAATCGGTGATTTTACTAGTGTTTTTTGTTGGGAAAAACCTACTTCCACGTAGTGCAATTTATCATAAAACACTAGTGACAAATCTCTCATGAAAAATTCCTGGGAAATCCTGGGTGATTTCCAATTGTCCTCTGTACACAAATTTATGACCAGATTCTTAAAGAGAGGAAAATCCTTTAGTGAACTGGCAAAAATGTCAGCAGAATTCAGCTACTGAGTTCTGTGACTAAATACAGAGAACAGTTTTGAAAATCTGAGCTCCCCTTCCTGATGATTAAGTAGAAAAAGAGACTTTCAGAGAAGTTACATTGAGGAAGCTAAGTAGAAAACATCACTTCTAGAATTTCGGCCCTACAATTTTTGATTCAGTGCCAAATTGATTCATATTGCAAGAGGTAGAAGCCTGCACTAGGTTACACATTAAATGAAATAAAACCTTTCTAATAGAAGAAAAAGACAGGCAGTTCAATGCAGTTAATTATAATGTGTCAATACGCTCATTTGTTTAAATTTGCTCCTGGTTAGCTGCTTTAGGCATAAAAGTCTTTTATACTGAACAGCATCAAGACCAGGTCAGCTGGGGCCTTGTGCAACCCAGTCTGGTAGGAGGTGCCCACGGGGTTGGAACCAGATGATTTAAGGTCCCCTCGAACCCAAAACATTCTGTGATTTTATAATTGGGTTTTTCCTTGCTTATTAAACACACCCCAAAAATTTGAACAATGTGAGGGAAAAAAAAAAGCCATTCAGAGTTCCAGTGTTGCATATGTTCAGTTACAACGCTCTGGAAGCTACAGGAGAAGTTAAGGGTTTTCCTGAATAAGCACCTAATTTGTCTCATTTCACTGACTTTATGGTACTAAAATGCACGACGTGGAGTGCAAGCAAAGATCTGAGACCATCCTGTAGTCAGTATTCCAGAAAAGCCTAACAACAACCTACCAGCAGCCCAAAGAGAAAGTGGGGCAAGACTGCTATCCCCACTGCCTGCTGCATTGTGCCCTGCACCTGAGGACCCAGCTTTGCTCTGTCCCTGTCCCACTGTGTCCACACAGAGAAAGCATTTAACCTCAGGGTGTTCTTAAAACAATAAGACCCCAACCCTTCCTTAGAAATAACGTGTTTCAAAATCCACTAGTGGACTAGGATAAAGGACTGGACATTGTGGTGGAGAAAAAAAAATTAAAAAAATAAAATAAAAATCACAATTCACAGCGCAAGAGGGAACAACACATTGACCTCACAGACCACAGAAGTGGCAGCAGCACGGCTGTACCAGCAAATGGTTCCTGTTTCACCAAAAAAGAGGAGTGCGGAAATTTTAATTCAGGCTCACTAGCAGAAACCCTAAAGAGGTGAGAAATCACTGGAGTCCCTTTTCATCACCTCAGACAAATTGGATTATTGACCTTATCTTCTCCCTCTCCCCTTCCCTCTACATCCCAAAGCACAAGCCCCCGGAGTATCCAGTGGCAATATTATGTGACCAGTCATCTCCTGCAGTAACAAAAAACTCTGATAAAGATACTGCAACTTGGGACATGTGCTGTGGAATATGAAATTTGGACCAAAAGAAGATAGTATGGGCAAAGAGGAAAATAAATCAAGCCTGACACGTGCTGTTTTTCTGACAGGAGGACGTGGCATGTGAGGGAAGAGGTGGGGGGGTTACCTCGCTCCCTAAAGGGGGAGTGCATCATGCTTAATTCCCACGTTGAGTGTTTTATTTATTTTCTGTCAGCAATGACAAATAAATAGAAAGGCCCTCTCCTGATGCCCATGCAGATTAGAAAAACGCTTCACCTGAATTTTCAGTTTTTCAGAGAAACCTCGTGTTTGGCAGTCGGATGAGCAGAGCCGTGGGCTCTGTGGCCGAGGTGCTGTGGACCAGTGGATCCATGGGATGAATGGGCAATCCCCAGCTTGGTCTAGGGGCTGCTGTTGTCCCTTCCAGCCCTCCAGAAGGGGCCACTGCAGGCAGCAGAGGAAATGGACGCTCCAGCACACTAGTATGAGAGATGGGACATGGAGTTCATCTACAGCACAGATTATTTTCCCCATCCCTGTATCTGTTTGAGTGAATCATGATAACATTGCCAGGAAGGCAACTGCTCCTCAGGAAACAGATGAATAATGGCTGGAGAACACTGGCCCTTCATGTGCATAATGCAGCCAAAGCCATAGGGCACAGTTTCTTGCAAATCCTAGGTCCTTGGTGTAAGGAAAGCCACACTCTTCTCCCAGCATATGGGCAAATTACAGCCTCTACTACAGACCACAGCATTTTGTCTGATTTTCATAGAATGCTGACAGGTTTTTTTGGGAAGGCAAAAGGACTTTAGTTTTTGCCAATACAAACAACTGGCCAGACCGTGCTTTAGTTATGTACAGATAAAGATGAGAATAAGGCGGGATTCAGCTCCCAAAACATACTCAGCTGGCTTTGAGAGGCAAGGATTTACATGCCGGTTGCATTAGCTGATAGAGTATCATCCGTTTCCACTCACCAGGGACAACCTCCCTTCCCTCCACCATTCTCCCTTGGGCTGCAAAACCAGACTACCCACAGGTAGTCATTCCAGAGCTGGGGCCAGCCCATTGGGCCTGGCTGCTGAGGAAGTGGCAATATATTTTAAAATGCTGCTCTTTAAAAGACAAATACCAGTATGTTAAAAATATTCCTTCAAATCAAGGATGTGGAAATCCAAGCAAACTTCTCCTTCTGTTGTGGACAGTGAAGCAGCAGCATGTATTAAAAGACAAACAAACAAACAAAGCAGGGGGAGTGGAGGGGGAAGAAAAATCCCCCGCAAAATTTGCCAACTGCTCTCTCTGTTGAGAGCAGAGCACCGAGCTGCGCATTAAAAGGAATGCCATTTCTATATGCTTGAAATCATCTGTATAGAGCAATACATCACGGCTCCTCCACTCAGATGGGAAAAGAGTCAGAGTTCTAGGAGGAACCAGCAGCAGCCCGAGGGCAAAAGCCACCACAGGCAGCAGTTATGCAACTCCTCCCTGCACGCAGCCGTCCTGCCTGCGCCCAGACAAGATTTCGCTCCATTCACTTTGCATTTCCATGTTGTCTTCGAAATGAAAAAGGCAGCTTGGCTGTATTTAAAAGATGTGCTAGCTACTCAGTAGCTCAAAAAAATGCAGACCGTTTAATGAAGTACTGAAACCTAAATTTAGCAGGTCTAATTTAGCTGCTCAAGTTCAAATACGTGGACTCTGATGCACCTACAATACATATGGCTCATATACGTGCAGGTGCCAATGAAAACTTGTAGAGAGGTTGAAAGCTGAGGACTCTGTCTGCTGCATTCTTGATTCTCTTTTCCTTTCCTAGTAAGAGCATGTCGAATTGTTAATCAAGGTTTTGGATCTCCAGCTAATGCTTTTCCCCTGTCATAACCGCTGCCTAAAATCATGACTGCATCATAAATGATACTGCAATGCTTTGCATTATACATTTACGTGAAGTTATTATCAATACAACTTACATACAGGGCATTAACTATGTAATATGTATTTATTATCTCTCTGTACAGAAATCCTATTGATTTCTTTCCCATCAAGACCACGCTACCTAACTGCAAACTACCAGGTTTACAAAGGGATTACATCAAGTCTTTCTTATTCTACCTTAAAACCCCACTTTTCTTCTTACATCTTAGCAGGTATCTCACAGTCAGCATGAGTATCTTCCCCCATTATCTTTCATTTTGCCCAAAAAATATGAAGAATGACAAACACCCACTGAGGCTCCAACACAGAAACCTGTGCTTAACCTTAATAAGATTTAAGTGTGTATCTTAAGTTAAGCACACTCTGTAGCACTTCAGTCAACTTACACGTGCTTTAATATCTTAAAAGTTAAGCACAAGCTTAAGTGCTTTTTTGAATCAAAGGCCCTGCCAGGTAGACCCCTTCAAGACTGGAGAGCACTGTCTTCTGGCACCCTCTGTACCTTTATCATGTTGGAGGAAACTGTCACTCCCACCCAAAGAGCAGCAGAGGTGAGTACCAGCCTCTTTTGGGGACCCCAGTTTGTCATATTAGCCAAAACTCCCCTGAAATTCCTTTTTTTGAACTCAAAGCCTTTTAAGGCCGCAAAGACCTGCTCAATCAGCATATTGCAAAGGTTTTGTCTGTCTCTTGAATTCTCAAATTCATAAGCCTAGTAAGCTATTTTGGTCTCCAGGCAGTAGCAGCACTAATAGAAATAAAAACAGAAATAAGAATAAATGATAGGAGAATGCAGGCATTGAAAGGTGCCACAGAAATGGTATCTGGATGGTGAGGTGGAGCCAAGCACTAGACCACAAGAGCAATTCAGTTGAGGTTTCCCTGCTGGGGCTGTCACGTGGTGAGCAGCAAGCCCACCTTGGCATCAGGATCGCTAGGTAACGAGTGACCCCTGGGGTATTTACTAATTCTCAGCTTGCCAGGCCACCAGCATTACGTCCAGCCACCTGCAAAGGAGGTGTGAGATATTCAGAAAGCTGCTGCAGTTGTCCACCACCTGTGAGCACCTCCAGAGGAAGACCAACTAAGACTCACCTTAAAGACTCAAAAACCTCACGCATGCGCACACCACACACATTCCCATGCCAGAGACCAACTTTCAGCATCTTGTCCCTGGTCAGTAAAAAAGACAATTTCCAGATTTTTGTGCTATTTTTAAAAACCAAAGGCTGGAAAACTAGATCTAGGAAGCAGTATGCTTGCTAGAAACAGCACCTTTAGGATTTGGGGAGCAGGAAGAGAACCAAACCAACAAAGCCCATCTTTCCCCTCCCCAGCCTCCTGCTGCCCCACGAACAAAAAGGGAAGAGAGAAGAGTTGTCAGTTAACATCAACATCAGATGCCACAGGCAGTCATCAGATTTTCTTTCAGCTGCTTACCAGTGTGGCTCCTTTTATGTACCATTAGCACATTGGGCCCAATGCAAACCATGCCACAGACGTCACATTTCAGTTTACCATTCGGAAGCCGGATTCCTCCCTCGCTTGATAGCTCCTGGATCTTTCTGTTATCCGCCAGCTCGTTACTCTCAGTGAGGGGCTCTTCCAGGCTGCTTCCTTCATCATGAGCCCTGATCTCATCTTCCTGACCCAGGGGCTTCCTCTCACATTCCTCATCACTTTGCATTTCTAGCTTTACTGAATTTGCTGAAATAAAAAAAAAAATAAAATAAAAAAATTAAAAATGGGTATTTTCTAAGTTCTCAATTGCTAATATCACGATCAGTTTCTACTGTGATCAATATTAAAGCACAGCCTTGAAGCTCTAAAGAACATAAGGCCCTCATGATGGTGATGGCACTACAAGTTACAACTGTGTATTTCTTCAAGGCCTTGTTTCTTTATTAAACTCCTAATTTCTATCCCTATTTGGCAGCTTAGAAACTAAGGCATGACGTGATCCAGAGACCTATCAAAAGCTGCAGAGATGCAGGCTTAAGAACTGACCTCCTGCTTCTCAACTTTAAACACAGGAGCTCCTTTCCTTTCAAGGAGCCCAAGTCACAGAAGCAAAGGACACAGCCAGAGCTGCTTCTTCCAGGTTTCTCCTCCCTCGTGCACCAGGAGAGAGGCTTTCCAAAGACAGGGGACTGCACCACCACAGCCCGTGGAAACAAGCACCCTTTGTAGGCAGGACTGTTCAAAAGGCAGGGCCTAGTGAAGCCAGGCTTGTGGGCTGTGTCAGTAATCTCCAAATCGCCCTGCCTGCACAGGCAGGTTTCTTCACGGAGCAGAGACCAATCTCTGGATGAGTCTCCAACACTTTTTTACCATCACCTTCTGATTCACGTAAATGGGATGCTGCCAAGGCAAACAGGTGTGAGGTGAGACCTACGCTGCTGGCTTATTTATACTTGCAAGTGAAATAAGCATAGTTGAAGATCTTTAACATCTGCCTGGTTAGACTGACAGGCTCACCACTGATTTCTGTGATCCTCAGGTCACAGGATAAACCTCCTCTAATTATCCAGAGCATAAGGGATTGGCAAATCTTTAAAGAAAATGAATGCATCAGGCTTTTTCACACAGGGTGTCAGTGCAGGGGTGTTTTGATCACCAGACACTCCATGGTGGGTCAAGACTGCTGAAAGGCCTGTCCCAGAGTCACGCTCTCCATCCACACTGTCAGCCAGAAGGCAATCCCACGTGCTTGCTTCCCTAAGCCTTGATCCTGCTGAGGGGTTTAAAAAGAAGGTGATTCAGCCTTCATATCTAAGCAGTCTTTGACCTCTGCACTAAGGCCATTAGCACGAGTGCTGCTGACAGCGGTGGACCCGGAGCGCAAGTGCGTGCCCTGGGCCTGGCTGGTGTCTCTGAACCCTGGCCAGGTGTGCTCCAGAGCAGCTGCCCAAGGGCCCTGCCTGGGAACGCAACCGTAGAGTTAGGAGTAAACGTGTCTGATCGCTGTGAGGCATCACTGTTTCCAACAGCTGGCCTGGAAATGTCAGAACCCACCCCACTGCTTAGACTTCTTTCTCCATCCTTTCTCTCTCCTCCTTCCCCAGAATTTACAGTTAAAGGAAATACAAGGTTCAGAGACTGATGATGATATTGCAGCTCTAAATCACTGCTGGTACTCCTTGGCAAAACATAATTAACAGGGTAAAGGCACCAGAGACCAAACAACAGCAAGATGTTGCTTTTTAATCATAAAATTGTTGAAATGCATCTTCCACTATTCATCAGGGCACTAATGGAAGCTAAGGAATGAAAGTACTATTACAGCAGAGCACATCCAGAGTAAGGACACAGCCAGATCAGATCACAGCACACTAATGTCAGCACAGGCATTGCCACCAAAACCGTCTGGAACTATGAAATACTTGAGTGCTTCATTTATAGAAGGGAGTTGATATTTTTGTTGCCACAGAGATGTTTAAAACAAGAAACAATGTCACAGACTGAGATCTTGACTGTGACCTTGCCTGAGCCAGTGCCCAGGTGTGGGACAGCCATCGTCTCCACCTACACCCAGCATGGGGAAGAGCACAGTCTCCCAGGGACAGCTCTCTGCTCCACAGTGCAAAACCTAGTACCAACAGCACACACACAGAAATATGTGGATGAAAACTGGCCACGAAAAAGACACCTTAAGCTATGTAATTGCAAATCACCCCACAAGGATAAGATACAGTTTTCTTAATAGCTTCTTCTGTGAGGCCACCATCATCTCAACAAGAGAAGGAAGAAAAGCAGAAACAGGTCAACAGGAAGTTGTTTACATGACAAGCATAAGGGGGCCTGTCCCACCATGGCAGCAGGAGAAGCAATTGGAAGCCATCTGATGCTTGTGAGAAGCCCAAGGTGTGACCAACCTTATGACCAGGAAGACTCACCCTCACTGGAGGGGCTGGGAGAGTGGGAGCTCTGCCAGCTCCGTGGGCTGGCAGGGAGAAAGCTGAGGTTGTAGTCCCACCTCCCCATGGACAGCACGCTTTGGTGATTTATGGACAGCCCACTTTCAGAGCACTTAACAAAAGGCAGTTCCCTCTAATAATAGCAGCCTTTTGGGGTATTCAGCAAGTCTGAGAATGAAGCCCAGATAAACAGTTTGCTGTCCTCAGGAGAAGGATTTAATACACTTGGCCACACAAGTAGCTAGGGTAGAGCCAGAAATAGTGTCCTGTGCTCCTCACCTAAAATCCCGGGTCACTGCCACAAGCCTGCACACTCTCCATGCCCAGTAATGCACAAAATAACCCCAAAATCTCATACCAATTGTGTATATTTATACTTACTCACATGAGAGCTAGAAAGCCTTGTAGCTTATGTGTCTTCTGACGTCTACAAATTTTTGTCTCCATTTCTTTGACATGGAATAATAAACACTTGACTGTAGTAAGTGCTGAGCACCAGGAGTTCCCATTCAAGTCCGTGAGCCTCTGCCTGCTCAGCACCTAGGAAAGCCAGGCTGAAAGAGACTGGAAGATGACTGATTTCATCTTGCCCTAGCATTTCTTTCTGATGAATGATGGCTTTCATCCAACAGGATAAACAGCACAACGAAACAGAGCGAGCTGTTTGCCGAAATGCAACCTCCCCAAACACACAGTGCTCCACAGCTCCTGCAAATGTAGCTCACAAAGCCCACGTAGTTCACACTGCACCTTTCATAACATGCAAGCTCTTCTGCAAAGTTGTGTGGGCCATCTACTCTCCTTACTTCCCTCACCTTCACACACACACACTAAGCATGGCCTTTGCCATCTTCAGAACCCCTCTGCTAGCTCATATTGCTGTGGTAAGGTTTCCTTCAGCTGGGACTCGTCACAGGTCTCTCAGGAGGGGTGCACTGGTGCAGCATGGATCTCCTCAGCAAGGGCTTTGCCAATCAGGCAAAATCCCTGCTGCCTTACATCATGCTGGTGTAAATATTAAGCTCATGTGGGAGCCTGCACACAAACAGGCGCTTAAATCGCATCCAGTTTGTTTTCCCTGTGTTCAGCCAGCCTTTGGAACTACAATAATTTTGTGGCACTATCTTTGGTTTCACCTACAGCCACAAACTCAGAGATCATAATGAACTCTGCTGCAAAGAAAAAAAGAAATATTCAAGGGATGTTTATGGCTATCCTACATTATATACAAGTCTCCACATCTAATTTCACTCTGGGTTCCCTTGCCTTTCTTGCTCACATTCTTGCTAAAAGTGACAGGCTTTCTCATTCCTTGGCAAAGCAAAGCACAAGTCAGTAAATGGAAAAATTTTTCCAAGTTTTTGGCACTTTTCCTAAAAATCACAGCAAAAAAGATAGTGGGGATAAACTAATCCAGCTCGCAGCAAAAGCATGAACTTGACGTCAAACAATTTCCCTCCAGTTAATAATAAAAGTTCCTTCCACTTTCTCCCAGTCCAACACAACACCTCATGGCGAGAGAGAAGAGACTGAAAAATAAGAAGAACGAGTCTAGCAGCCACAAAAGCTTCTACCTAGGACCACGAAGCTAATGGCACATTCACCAGACCACACAGCAATGTTTTGGGTGGGTTTTTTTGTGTGTGAGGTTTTTTTTTTGTTTTTGGGGTTTGTTTTTTTTTTGTTTGTTTTTTTGTTTTTTGTTTTTTTTCAGAGCACCAACCAGCTGATCCTGAATCACACTATCTTGAGTGGCCAAATTGAATATAATTATTGTTAATGTCTCGTAAGTGCTAATTAAACCACAACTCCCTGTTAAGCAGCATTTTGGCAAAGTTTTCAGTACCAAAATATTTCCTTCACCCGCAAATTAGTGTAGCTACAAACCAGAAGCTAGAAGATCCACCTAAGAAAAATATTCCTAGTATTTCATCTTCTGTCATGGAAGTGTGTTTCCCTCAAAAGTAAGATTTGCGGGGACAAAAACCCAATCCCTCCTATCTTGCTGAGACATTTGATCTCTGGGTGGGATATATTTCAAGCACCGGCCATCTTCTTAAGTAAGCAACTTTGAGTGCAATTCCCCCTTCAGAACAAGAATCCTTCCCTCCAACACAACAGGGAATGACTGTGCCCCTCTGTCTCCTCCACCGTCTGCTGTCCGAGGTCATTGCTTATTATATCTGTGGCCCTGGAAAACCAGGCTGGCCACTGTCACCATGGGTTTGTGGTCTCCAGCTAGAGGTTAGCCCTTCCTGGCAGCGGCCGTGCACCACCAGCCTCTTCCTGCCGCCCCCGGCGCAGCAGACAGAGCAAGGCTGACCCCTTGAGCCCCCCCGTGCTGCTCCCCCCATCCCTCTCCTCTCACCATCAGGAAACGAAGATTTGGCCCAGCTTCAGATACTCATCTGGAGGAGGCAAAATTCAAATCTGCCACCCCCGAGGAGCCTTGAGGTGGCTCTGTGGGCGAACACAGAGAAGGACGTTTGCAGTGAATGTGGACACATGTTCTCTAACCAAACTTGTCTAACAGCAGGGGACAAGTGGCACATTAGCTCTCCCAAGGTCTGCGGCAGATTCCCTGTCCAGAACACAATGTAATGTGATATTCAAAGCCTGGAAAATGTGTCTGTTTTTTTTACCTTAGAACATAAAGAAATTAAGAAATTGTTACTTCCTTCTAGAAAGTGAGACCGAGCTCTAACGACTGCAGCTCAGTGACAGGCAGCTACAGCACAACCTTCTGCATATCGTCTTGTCAATGGTCAGTGACTCCGTCTATTTTAATCA